AGCAACGGATGTGAATTAATGAAAGCAATTGTAGAGTGACCAAAATCTGAAATCACCTTGCCCAAATTTATTTGGAAATTTGAACAGAAAGGAGGAGGTGAAGAGATTTTGGATTTCATTGGTTGAATTGAGGAATAATAAAATAGTCAAACAGTCGTAAATGAAGAGTAAGAGGAAGGATATAGGGAATATATCTTTCCAAAAGAGGAAAGATAGGCCACGTGTAAAACAATCTATAAATCTAAGAAGCTCTACCAAATTGACACATGTTAATACTTACCTTGGTTTCTCTCTTAATATATAAAAATAAATATAGATGGTAATAGTTTGAAACCACACAATTATTCTCTTCTGGTTTATGGTTTGAGGTCATAAGGATACATGGGTCAAAGATAATAATGGTTGATCTCATTCTTAGTAGTAAAGGATTTATTAATGGTGTATTTCTTGTGAAAAGTTTATTTGGTTTACTTCTACTTAAGATTGTATAGCATTTATTTATTTAACTAAACCTCTCAGTATGTGAAAAGGCACATTAGGCTTCGACTAATTTAGAATTGAGTTGAGTTGGATCCATAATGGGTAAACGCTTTGGGTATTTATTTTTTTATTCACAAAACTTGAATTCAAAATTTTATTATAGGAAAACCCAAGTTCTTTTCACTCATATGCATTGATAGCTGGTCTCTTCTTTTCTTGCTTGTGGAATGGCTTTCTTATATTTCTCTAAATATTTGCCATTCAATTCTATTTATGGCATTGTACAAAATGAAAAAGTCTTGGTCTAGCGTTGTAATTCTTATTTACTTGTCATTACTATTTTTTTTTTATCTTGGTTGTATAAATGAGAAATAATTATCTTTCATCTCTTATTTTTTATTCTATTTCATTCGCATGTTATGTGACTCGAATTTAGAATTTCTTATTTTTAACAAAAGAAGATGATTAGTGAGTTATTTAGATCGTTGGCGTCATTACTACTCTTAATAGCCAATTATTGGCATTGCTTTTGGGTCATTTTGATTGATACAGGGTAGTTCTACTGAAGACATGATGTTAGCGTTTCCTGAGCAAATTGGGAACATTCAATAGATTGCTCCCAAGTTTTTTTCATCGCAGTTTATAGTGTGCTTTTTTTTTTCTTGGTACAAAGTTTATTCTTTGTAAAGACCTTTTTGTTTTAATTTTGTCAAAGCATATTTAATTTTCATTAATTTATGTAAATTTTGTTTCTTTCTTTTAGTGATGCATTTGATTATTTCATTAATTTCCTGATCTCGTGATGGGTTAACCAAAATTTCAACCTGTTTGCTACAACATTTTCTCCCCTAAGAGAAGAATTAAGCATAGGCAAAGTGGGCAAATCTGCCCTTCAACGAAATTCAGTCACATATGGACCCTCAAACTCCTCGGATGGTGGCACATTAGCCCTTTTTAATTGAAACGTTATCTTTCTTCAATGTTTGATTACATGGCCGTTGTTGGACTTATTTTGAGTCTACTTTTGCTGATCTGTTAGTGGACCATTAAAAATATTTTTTTTTCTTTTTTGTCTCTTTCTACTCCTCCCTCCCCCATTTCCCAAAAAAAACCTCCATAAAAGTTTTTTAGAATGCTGACGACCCATGACCGGCTGGTGGTGCTGCCTTTGCTTCTCCTCGAACACTCTTTGTAGCGGGAAAAATGAATCTGCCCGAAAAATGCTATCGGATCGAATGCTGGCTTGCCATTGTATCTAAACAGCAAAATTGGAGCTAATCTAAACTCTTGCTGCTAAAGCGTCATCTTCTTCCTCGTGAGTCTTCCGGTACATAAACTAAACTATTCGTAAGTCCATATATATGATCCGCCACATAATCCAAAGCACCAACAACTGCAGCCACATTGATATTAGATACGTTTCAGCTCGAAACTTCCAATGTAAACCTCGTTCTTAACTTCAATCAAAGATTACAGATCTAATATTTTGGCAAGCGTCAAATAGTCACAACAAATGAATTAAATCCTAGAATAAAAAAACTCATTAAGGAATTACCCATTACATGGAAATAAAAATTTTTCAATAACAATTATTTAGCTAATGGAAAAGCAGTCAAATTAGAGAGACGAAACAAATAATACACTTATTTATCCTAAATAAGATTTTGAAACCTGAATCATAAGGTAAATATCAACTAAAATTACTACTACAAAGCATGGAACAACTTAAGAGAAAACTACCCTTCTTGTAAAAAAAAACTTATTTTTACTTCTAATATTATGTATTGTTAGAGAATATAAGCAATAGTTTGGGACAATTTGCCCGAGATGCAATGAACAGACTGCTTGTATGTTAAGTACTAGCGGGTATATTATTAGAAATCTGGCATTCAAATCTGTAAAATAATGAAATGAAACTGCCATGAAATTATAGCAATGAGGCTGAAAATTGACAGCAAATAAAGCTACAATTTGACAACAAATATGGCTGCAATTTGGCTGCAAATATGATGAAAATGAAGCTGTAAAATGATAGCAAAAATGTGCAACAAGCTAAGCTGCAAATGTTGATGAAATAAAGTTGCAATAAGTAACAAATGAAATGCAGTTGCAATAAGTAACAACTGAAATGCAAACGCAAATGATTGAAGAACTGCAGAGTGGCTGCAAAATGATAGCAAGCATGCAGCAAAAGTGGTTGTCTTTTACTTGTTTTAGATGTACTTTTATGGTTGCTTTTTAATGTAGAAAAGTTGCTTAGACAAAATAAGAAGCTTTTTGAATTGTTTTTAGGTTTATTTTATGCTATATATACCAGAGATTGTTAATGAGAAAATCTAAGTTGAGTGTTATACTCCTCTCCGTTTTTGGTTCTGCTCTTCATCTTCTTCTAGATTTTCTATCCATTTCTTTGTGAAAAAAGAAAAAAAGAAAAAAGACAAGTAGCAATATTTATAGCTCACATTTACATTGAAAAATGATTTTTTCAGGCAAAGAGCAAAGTTTGTGCCGTGCGTGTTAAAATAGGAGATCATGTCTTTAGCAGTTGTTGGTGTGGCCATTGTCACTGCTGTTGGGAAGGTCGAGACGTGGATTGTTACTGCTTTTGACAAGGCCAAGGAGTGGGTTGTTGCCACTATTGTTCCAGCTGTTGTTGCTGTTGTTGGTAAGGCCAAGGGGTGGGTACTTGCTGCTATTGGCAAGGCCAAAGAGTGGATTGTTGCTACCATTGGCAAGGCCAAGGAGAGTGCAAGACATTACAAAGGTGGCCTCTATGTGTTTCTTACATGCATTGTTGCGGTTGTTGATGGCTTACTCTTTGGCTACAACATTGGAAATTCAGGTAAAACATTGGTGAAAAAAAAAAGAAGAAGAAAAAGCTCTTTGGAATAATTTAACTTCAAATTTTACTTCCGTAAGTTAAAATTCTAAGTTTTTCATGGCTACAATTTATAATTGCTATAAATATTTAATCATCTATTATAAATGAATTACTTGGCAAGGGGAGTGACAACTATGAATGGATATCTTCAGTGGTTTTTCCCCACAGTGTATGAAAAGATAAGGCAGAGACTTGAAAATAACTATTACAAGTATAATAACCAAGGCCTCATTACCTTTACCTCATCTTCATATCTTGGTGCCCTAGTAGCTTCTCTGGTAGCACTTCTAGTAACAAAGAAGTATGGACATTGTGTGATTATAATTTGTGCAGGACTCAGCTTTCTTGTTGGAGCTGCTCTTAATATTGCATCTGCCTACCTAGTCATACTTTTTTAGGTCAGATTATGCTTGGCTCTGGAACTGGATTCGAGGAACATGTATATTAATAATGAATTTGCTCAATTCATATTGTGTTAATTCTATTTATATTCAAATATTGATTAATTCATAAATTCAGGTTGTTCCACTTTATTTGTCGGAAATGTCACCTATTCATCTCCAAGGAATCATCAAGAGTGTATTCAAATTAGCTATTAAGTTGGGCGCTTTTATAGCTAATGTGGTTAATTATAGAACAAAAAAGTTGGATTATTCAAGATGGAAGATCTCTCTTGGCCTCACAGGAGTATTGGCACTTTTTGTGACAATGGGAGCAATTCTTCTTCCCAAGACATCTAAAGGCTTAATTGAGCAAGGAAAAAGGGAGAAAGGCAGAAGAATCCTTGCCAAAATCAGAGGAATTGATGATGTTAACATAGAGTTTGAGGACATGATACATGTTAGTGATTTGGCTAACTCTATTGAGCATCCATTTACGAAAATGCTTGAGAGAAGAAACATACCAATATTGGTAATGGCCATCTTCATGCCAGCATTCAAAATCCTAATGGTCATGAGTTTCATTCTCTTCTATACTCCAGTGTTCTTTCAAAGCATAGGGTTTGGAGAAAATGCCTCGCTTTATTGCTCAGTTGACATAGTAGCCGTTATGGTTGTATCTATCTTTATATCCATTGCCATAGTAGATCGATTGGGGTGAAGAGTTTTACTCATCAGTGGTGGAATTCAAATTATTCTATGTCAGGTAAGATATTTAGTATTAATTTGCAAATGCATAAAATAAGAATAAGATACTCATAATGAAATTTTTGAAAATTTAAAGCACTGAATCATTTATCTTTAAAACATATCATAATTGCTATAATCTTGGGACTCAAGTTTGGGGACAATCAATCTCTGTCCAAGGACTATTCAGCATTGGTGGTGGTGGTGCTTTGCCTCCTTGTTTTAGCCTTCAAATGCTCATGGGAGCCTGTAAGTACTGATAAGGTGTTGAATGAGATATTTACATCAGAAACAAAGTTAGCTGGACAAAGCATCAAAGTAGTTGTTGAATTTCTATTCAGCTTTATAATAGCTCAAAGCTCCCTTTCCATGCTCTGCACACTTAAGTTCGGTATCTTTTTGTTTTTTGCTGGTTGCAATATTATAATGACCTTATTCGTCTACATGTTGGTGCCTGAAACTAAGGGAGTTCCAATTGAAGAGACAACAGTTTTGTGGAAAAACCATTGGCTCTGGAAGAGAATAGTCCCTGCATAGTCCCTGCATCTAGAGGTTGGTGGGAGTATTTACAAGGACAATGTTGTTTCATTCGAATTGAGTGTTGAAGCTGTGCATAAACTGTGCATAAACTGTGCAGAAGTTATGCATAATAACCTTCTCTTTTGTTCCTTAGCAAACTTCAAACTTTGCTTTTGCTCTTGCTCCACACAAACTTGTTTATTGGTAGCCAAGTCTTTGTCCAACAAAGTAATTTTGTCTTTCAATTCCATCACTTGTTGATAAGACAAATCTTTACCTCTTTTAAGCAATTCATGTTCAAGAGCTGAACCATCATACTTTTCTTGCAAATGAGCTCTTTGAGAATGACTAAACTCCAACTTAGTAGTCAAATCTATGATAGTGGATTCTTTGGTATTTATCACCTTCAGAGGCAAAGAAAGATTTTTTATCCAAATAGACCTCCATTGCTCATATTCTGGTCTAGTTCCATTTTCTTTCTATATAGGTAACATCTTACATTTGACCCACAATTCATGTGCCTCAAATATCTTGTCAACAATCTTCATAGGAGATGCCTGATCAAAAGGAGAAGGTAAACCATTATTTAGATAAGGAACACCTTGTGCTTATCCAAACTGGCGACGAACTAACTCCATAGAATAACAAATTCCCCCACGGATACCTAACAAAGGAATAAAGTGGTGCCTCTCAGGTGGATGAAGGTAATAAGTGGCACTCCAAGATGAAAGCACAAATTTGACATCACTAATAGAAGCAGACAAGAAAATTTGATGCCAATCCTCTACTTTCCTATTTTCTATAGTAACACTAAGCAAAGTTGCAAATCGAGGACCTATGAAGTGATGATGTGCCCATGCAGTAACAACTCAATGCAACCCAAGAAGCGACCTTTACGTTTTGCCCAAATAACTTGCATAGATCTTAAGGTTTCAGCGACTACAGTCGAAGCAGGATTGAATGTCGAAGTAGACAACAACTGATCAAATAGAGCTAGCACCATAGGTGCAACAAACTTAACATAAATAGGAAATATGACCATGCCATAAACCCCAAGTGCCACAAATCTGATCCTTTCTGAAGATCTCATATTAGATAAACTCTTGCCCGTAGTTGTAAAAGCTACATCCCAATTAAACCCATAAGTATCCGTATTTAGTAAAGGCTGTGTGAAATCAAAAGAAAACCCACAAATACGTTGCAACATCTCTTGAACCATTACACTTGGAAGCTGCATATGCTGCTGTTTAAGGGTAAAAGTATGTGAATCCCCTATAAGACTACATCGTAAGAATTGATGATACTTATCAATAGTAAGTACTAGCTCAAACTGCAGGAACACAAATGCCCCATATTTAGGAACATAAAATTTCAACATAGTTTTAAACAATTTCCAATCTGGCACAATAGAAAACAAGTCCACAATACGTCCAAATTGCACCTAAAAATCATACTTTTCCTTAAAAGACAAAAGGTCATAGGCTGCCTTTAGCAATCTTAGGTTCGGCTTGGTACTAGTAACTGAAAAGTTGAAATCATTGGACTCCTTAGAAGCAAAATGAGATGCATAATCCTCCCTTGACCTTTTCCTTTGTCTAGCAATATCCTTGATAAAATCCATAGTTGATGCACAATGTATGGCTTACCTATATTAAAAAAAAAAAGCTCAATCGTGCAAACACAAATCATAGCCTCATGTGTTATACCTCAACAAATATGAATGGTTAAATTCTCATTTTGATCCCTCTACTTTAACAAAAAGCTCCTTTTTAATCCCAATACTTAAAAAACCCCTTTTTTGTTTCTTCAGTTTTGAATTGCACCCTTAAAATTTATTACCCCTTTATTTTCCAAAAAAAAACACATGCTATCATCTCAAAATGTTACTAATTATGGTGTATACATTGCCACAACCACTTTAATTAATTGAAGAAAATTTTTTTATTTTGTACTTTGCCACCAAAATACTCCACACGTTGGCTGCCACGTCTCAAGTTACTAACCAAGCCTTCTCCAACACTTCTTTTCCCTTTTTGTAAGTTTTTCGTTCTTTCTAGGCAGAACCACTCCCACACTCAATCTATTCGTTTTCATCAAGAAGGCCTTCTCCAACACTCATTTTCCCTTTTTGTAAAGTGTTTCTTCTTTCTCGGTAGAACCACTCCCACACTCAAGGCCTGTTTAGTATGGTTGGAGCTTTTAATAGAAGTCCTATTAGAGAGAATTTGTTGTAGAAGTGCTGTTTTTGAAAAGTTAGAAGTGTTTGGTAAATTTTTGGGTTAATTAAACAAATCATCTATTAACTTTCATATTCATTTTAGTTTCATCTATTATCTCTGAATTCTTTCAATCATGTCTATTAACTTTCACATTTATTTCAATTTCATCTAGTCTGTTATATTTAACCGAAATATCCATTATCTTTAACGGAATCTTCTTATTCTTTAACAAAATATTTAGTCCTCTAACTATATTTCTTTTGATCTTTTAATCCTTAAATTTATATTCTCCGTAAAAATAGTTTTTAATCTTATCTCGCTAAATGTGTTCTTCAGAAAACTGTTTTACAGAGTAGACTGTATGCAGTCTGTCCTGTAAAATTATTTAAATGCCCTTAATTTTATTTTTATATTATTTTTTAGGAACATTTAAATAATTTTTTAGGACAGACTGCATACAATCTATCATGTAAAACAGACTAGTTGCTCACGTTTATTACAAATTTTAACTAATCTATCTCTATAAAATATGTCTTGAGACATCATATTTTATTAGGATTATAATGTCACTTTTTCAAAACTTAAAGGACTACTCTTTTAGTTAAATCTAACGAAATCTTGTACTGATAGACTATTTTGAAATATTTCCAAAGTTTGTAGACCATTTAGAAAGAAACTAAACTTTCTAGACTAAAATGAAATCAAGTTGATAGTTAATAGACTAGAAATTAAATTAAGTCGAAATTTTTTTTGTAAAAGTACTTATAGAGTGAAAAGTTGTTTAATAAATTTTTTTATAAAAGGTCTTTTAATATTAAAATAATTGAAATAGACATTATTTATTTTTTCATCACTCTCACTTCATTTTTTTATATTTTTATATGACTTTAAATTTATAATTAGTTTAAAGTTGATGATTAAAAATTAATTATTCAAATTTTAAAACATAAATGTTAGATAAATATTTATATTTTAATATTAATGAGTTTCTTCCTTCTTATGCACATATATATATATATATATCTTGTTGGATGCTGAGTGTTGGATGCTCTATGAACTAACCTTTTGCACTTGGCATTGGAATACTAGGTGAGTTTCTTTTTGTGTAAGTAGGATTGTTTATGGGTGCTATATCTATTGGATGCTTTATCTACTTGCCTTGGGATATTATTGTTTCTTTATTTGCCTTGTGGATGGTTATTGAATTGGCATGCCCCTACACACACTCACACTTTCATGATGCATTAGGTTTGCATCTGAGGTGAACCTGACCTCAAGTCTGGAGCCCAATGAATCTTGCGCGTTAGCCCAAAGCTTTCCGTATTGAGGAGTTGGATCCGCTCCCATTAGGTTGTTTTCAGGTGTTAATACATCACTCTACAGTCATGGTACTGTTTGCGTATTAGCATTTGAAAATATCTCCCATTGATTCCTCATGGATAGATGGTTGAGAAAACCTAATGCCTTCTAGGAAATCATGCAGTGAACTTAGAGAGAAACTACCCATAGGACATGTTTCCCTAGAAAACCCACCTGAAGGTTAGGATTCTTGTGTCTAGGACACAAGGGGGCATTTTCATTTGAGCATCATTTACCACAAATTTGCATGTCAAATAAGGCTTTCATGAATGTAGTTGTTCATTTCCTATTTTCATTGAGTATGTTATTCTTATTTTATTTCCACCAAATAAGTCCTTTAAATTTATTATCATTAAATTTGGGTTCTATAGTTTTTGTTTTCATCAAATTGGTCCTTTAATGAGCCGTCTTTTCTCTTGCATCTCCATCAAATTTGTTCTTTTCATGATATAAATCATCTCATTTTCATTTAGTTGGTTCATTAGACTTTCTTTGCACCAAATTAGTCCCATGACTTTTGCTCTCATCAAATTAGTCCTTTAGTTTTTGTTTTCATACAAACAACTAATAAATAAAATCAAAAAAGTTATGTAATTGTTGTCATTACAAATCAGTGCATCAATTTTTCCTTTTCTCAAAATAGTTTTGTGCACATTACAAATTGCATTCTTAGGAGCATA